TGGCAGGCTGGAAGCCCCATGCGTGTCCTGTTTACATCATCGCCTCTCTGAACCAGGCAGCTCCCTACCTCGAACGGGTGGTGCTCATTCCCGGCCCGGGAAAATTATTCCATTCAATAATTTCCTAGCCATTTAATCCAATTCAGGGTCCTGGGGGAGCCGGAGCCTATCCCAGCAAGCAACGGGTGTAAGGCGGGTACCCCCCTGTATGGGCTGCCAGTCCATCACAGGGCCCACGCGGACAGGGGCGTGCACAGTTTTCCCAGAAGCCAATAAACCAGTATGTGTTTGGACTGTGGGGGGGAACCCATGTAACCAGTGAGATAACATGCGAACTCCATGCAGATAGCGACCCAAAGCTCTACAGGTCAGCAGTGCTAACGACTGAGCTGCTGTTCTGCCTGACAAGTGATTACTGTACCTGGTTAAATCGTAAGCCAAAGGTTCGAACGCGAGCAGATCTGAGGAGCAGATCTGGTTTGTTAGCAATTAAAAACCTACTAATAACTACTGTACCTCTCACTCCCAAAATCCGTGTGTAATGGATATTTTATAGTAAATTTCATCCAATATTTCAAGTTCTCTGTGAATTAGGTTAATGATAAAATAGCAGAGCATGGGACACTACAGTGTGGATATATCTGATTTGATATTTAATGAAACTCTGAAGTTTCTTCACAAAGAAACAGATCACTATTAATAATGTCACAAGATTAGCCTGTTCTAGTTTTCTTCCTTTTTATTTTTGTCTAGTTACACGATCCTTCCAGTTATTGTTTTTTCAGTTTTGAGTAGGGAAAGCTTTTGTGTTTTTGTTCTCACTAGTTAAAGGACAGATCATTAACCAGTTTGTGTCCACAGAATATAATATGACTGTATAGTACATTATGTGTCTGAAAGTTTGTGATGTAAACCTAATAGATTCAGTCTGAAGTGCATAGTCGGAGGCAAACAATGGGAGAGGCCGTTTGTGTCGCTCCTTCACAGCTGATGGGTCCTGGGTTTGATTCTACACTGGTCCTCTTTCTGTATGGAGTTTGCATGTTCTCCCCTGTCTCAGTGGGTTTTCTGCAGATTCTTTTGCCTTCTCCAGCTTCCAAAAACATGCTTCCTAAATTAATTAGTGGCTCTCAATTAGTCCTGGATCTGCTGTGCCTTATGTCCCGATTCGGATATGGTCCTACCTTCTGTCCTATGCATTCGGGATAGGCTTCAGGCTGCTGTAACTCTTGCCAGGAACGAGTGGGTTCTAAAGAACAAGGCTTGAATTTGTCAGTTTAAGCAAATCATTAGTTCAGTTAGAACTGGAGGTGTGGCCTCCCCCCGATCTAAACTATATTGTTAGGGCAGAGGTGAGCAATCCAGGTTGTGGAAGGCTGGTATGTCTGCAGGCTTCCAACTCAGCACTTAACAAGTTCAACCTTGGCCATGCTGGGAAAAGCTTATCACTGGCTTAATGAGACCTAGTTCTTAAGGCACTGGTGTCGGGAAGAGACCTAGAAAACCTGCAGACACACCAGCCCTCCACAACCAGGATCGTCCACACCTGTACTAGCTCCTGTACTGCTCCACACATGTACCAGGATGAATAAGAGCCCAGTAGACTTTAAGGTATCACTGACTGATAAACGATTATGTGTCCATATATTTTCCAGTAACGCTGCTTACACCTGCCTCTGCAAATTCTGCATTTCAGAAAGAATTCAAATAATTCAGACTTTTTTAGGGTGTTCCATTTGATTAAGCAGGCTAAAAAATTCAGTATATTTTTTGCTATGCGATGTATGGATATAATTTGTAAATAGTTTTATTCATATCACACTGGATGGCAAGAACATGGACGTCACCTGAGGCAGTCCAACACCCCAGAAAGTGATTAGAAAACGTGTAGGCGCTTTTGGACACATGGAAACTATGACAAGAGTTGTATCCACATTAGAGACACCAAACACCACCCTGTTTTCTCAGCAGTAAGTCAGTTCAGGTTTAGTTGTGCTCTTAGTGACATCACAGCCCAGCAGGTTTTTGTTGGCAGCATGTCAAGAAGTACTGTGGCTCATTTCATATATGTGCTAATCATACCTTTGAAACATGGTATTATTCCGTGATAAAAAGAGAAGGATATATAGTGTTTCCTGTTTTCCTGTCCATACCTGCTAACGTGTCCTTGTTCATCAGCAGGGCCAGATGCAGATGCTCCTGGAGGAAACTGGTATTTATGTCTTGGTACAGAAATGTAGGATAGCCTTCGCAAAAACAGACTAAGCGCAGAATATAGGCTGTATGGACGCGGCAGATCCGGTTGTTTGTCCTTGTTAATCACGCAGGGCCTGACACAGATGTGCACGCAAACAGGTGGTATTTATACTGTGGGTTGTGAATGTGGAGCTGGGGAGGGGGTGGAATAGGGCAGTTTCGCCTTTTTGTTTTCTAAGATAGGTGTGTGCTACTTCTAACATTACATTAGCAAGCAAGCACAGTCGTCTCTGAAGCTATGTGACAGACCTGGACCTGGCTATCTGTGTAAGAAGGTGACAGATGGCTGGACATCTTGACCTGTGACGCGTTGGTTAAATAAAAATGAAAAGGCACGACCAAATGGGGAAAAGTTCCAGAAATTCGAAACCTTTTGCAATACAGTTCCAACACACATGCACGACACAATTTCCTGTTGTTGAACTGAACTGACAGGCTGACCCAACAACCTTTTTGGTTGTGTTGGGCCTGGAAGCTGCCCATGGCATAACAGACAGGTTGGCTGGGTGCCAGACAGTTGGGCAGTGCAAGGAAGCCAGCAGTTTAGTCGTTGCAGCTCTTTCCAACAAACACAACTCACAGAGCAGCATGCCACAACCTAAGAAAAGTAAATAATGAGAAGAAGCCATTTGGCCCATTTTTTCCACACCCATTGGCTGTTATTAATAATAGCTATTATACATTAACACAAACCACACAAACCAAAGGACACAAATGAAAACCATGTGCCAGTGCATTTAAAGGCACAAACAGGAGGCATTTCTTTACCCAAAGGGATGTGGGAGTGTGGAACAAGCTACCCAGGCTTGGTGATGAAGCCCATACTGTGGTTCCTTTCAAGAAACAGCTAGATGGGATCTTTTCGTTAATTGACTACCAGCAACCTAACAGGCTTGATGGCCTGAGTGACTTCTCATTTGTAACCTTTCTTATTTGCTTGACTGATGTTTTTATCTGACACAACATACCAATTTCAGGGCACATGGCATTTGGGAATTTTCCTGGAGCAATCTGAATGAAGAACCTTGCACAAGGCTATCACAGTGGCTTCCCAACTGGAGAACCCACAACGGTCCCGTTATGAGTCCAGAGCCCCAAGTACTACTGCATGTCTATATATAGAACTTGCCCACACTGTTTCCACCCCTGCAGTGTGACCCATGTGGCCTGTCGTCTGCAGGTTTAAAGAGAGCATGTACCACGCCCTCATCTACGCCACCATTCTGGAAATGCAGGCCATGATGACCTTCGAGCACGAGGACATCGTCAACGCTGGCAGCACCATGAAGAGCGCGCAGGAGGTGTGCCAGAGGTATGGGTAATCAACAAATGGCCGCAGTCTTACTACGCTAACCATGAGGGAATGGATACGGCTTCCCATTGCACAGTCTGATAGATTTCAGGTTTTTGAGAGCTGCCGGCTCTCATTCAAAATGCAGTGATGTACTAGAGCAGCAACACCTTTGCATGCACACATGCAAATGTACCCAAAATAAGGCAACAAGCATGAAGGGCCTGAGTGCTGGATAGAACCTACGACTTGTGAACCCCGAAGTGACTCTCAACTATTTCATACAGGGGGAGTCTTATTTGTTTACTTGGTAGCCTCACACCTCCAAGATAATAAAAAAAAGTCTCATTTAAATATCCTATTTTTTCTGTGTAAGATTTGGTGTTTTCTTTTTTTTCAGGATAAAGTTGTTTAGTTTGGTCGAAAATAAAACAACGAACATTGCCCCAGAGTGCATGGCAGCAAACAGTGCAGTCAGTCAGCCAATGTCTGGGGCCCACCAGCCAATCAGGGCCTGTGTCTGGGACCCACACGGCCAACTGGGGCCTGTGTCTGGAACCCACATGGCCAACTGGAGCCTGTGTCTGGGGGTCACACGGCCAACTGGGGCCTGTGTCTGGGGGCCACACGGCCAATCAGGCAGTTAGCCAATACATTGCTGAGAATCACTTTCTTATCTTTTGCAATGTCATCAGACTACAGTAGTAATGAGTGGCGGAGAGTTAGTTTGATTATAAAATTATGATGGAAAAGCCTCAGAAATCAAATTAAGATGCAGTGAATTTTAAAATAACAGTGGAACAACCTTCAGGATTTTAATGAATGGTTAAAAGGTTTTTTTCTTGGGGTTTTATTGAATTTCCAGCTGAGCCCTTCTAAATTTTCTGACCCCTATTTTCTCAGGCAGATAAGTAAATTTACATGCAAACTCGTTCTCTCAGTTCAAATGAAGGGATTTGAATGTATTTGCATCCCAGCTCAGCAGCGTCTGATTCCAGCAGCGCACCTGTTACAGTGGGCCCTTTGAGGAGTGCAGCGTTGACAAAGCTCCTAATGCAGATACAGTTTGCAACACTTCATGCTAATCGTAGGCTTAGCGAGTGGGCGATAGGAAGTGCTGGAGCCGTAAGTTTCAGAAATGGGAAAAGGCCTTTGCATGTGGAAATCAATGCTACAGGCATTGCAGACTCAACAATGCAAAAGACAACAGAAATGCAGAGTAATATTTTGCATCCCCTCCCCAGGTTTCGGAAGAAGTCCACTGTAGTTGGCTCCATTACAGGTCTCGTCAACAAGTCGTCTGGTGATGCCTTTACGGAAGGTGAGTGTGTTTGGGGTTGCAGAACAGGAAGCATCAGTGAGATGCAGACGTCTAAGCCACCACCACAAGTGTGTATGTGCCCGGTCCCTTTTGTGCCTGGTGTTTTGTCCCAGTTGTAATGTATTTGAGTCTGTAAAAAGAACAGCATGGACATGAAGCTTTTAAAAGCTGTGCCTTCTGTGTATGTGTTTCCAGAGGAGATCCATGCTGAGGCTTGTTACGCAGAGTGTTTGCTTCAGAGAGCTGCGCTAACCTTCTTACAGGTAAGGCCAATCACTTCAATTATGCAATACTGGGATTTGACTCCACTTCAGGTTTTATGAACATCAGACTGGTTTTAATGCCTATAACGGAGGTTTTGAGTAGCTTTGCATATACACATGAAACACAATTCTAACTTGCTGTGCTTCTTCATAAGTCGTTATTAGACACTGATGTTTGGGAAAACCTGGAAAGTATGAAAGCTATACAAAGTATGGGGCTCCCAGTGAGCAGAACTGTGGATGGCTCAGACAAGTATACGTTCTGGGGGATTGTGTGCATAGTCCTCAGCTGCTCTCCAACCTTATTCCCATGTTGCTGCAAGCAAGGGTCACAGTGGAGAAATGAGGTTTATTATAAACTGGTGACTCCTGATTAGATGTGGGAATAAAAGGAATAACAATTAGCACTAGTAACATTAGTATTGTTTAAAAAGGTTAATTAACAGAGAGTATCTGTTGGTATCTGTAATGGCAATGTATCTTTACCTCACTTCAGAGAGGAGTTTGCACTTGCTTTGTGCTGACTACAACATAAACCTTTGAAGTGAAGCATCACTAAAATGGGTGCTGTACTGAAGCAGGCCAACACAGGAAAGAAGAAATCAGTTTGTATTTTGTTTCTTCAAAGGATGAGAACATGGTGAGTTTTATCAAAGGAGGAATGAAGGTACGCAACAGCTACATGATATACAGGTAAGTGTGCAGTGACATTGGCTTCTTGTTGTACCCATTAGTCATTAACCTTCATCTATTTTCTAATGGCTTTTTCCAGTACAGGGTTGAGGGAAGCCAGAACCTGTCCCAGCAAGCAAAAAGTGCAAGGCAGGATAGACCCTGGATAAACCACTTGTCCACTAGAGGGCAGACAGACACACACAGTACACACACACTCACCCCTGGGCCAGTCTATCTAGAAGCCAGTTTACCTACCAGTATATCTTCAGACTATGAGAGGAAACTGGAGCACCCAGAGCAAACTCACATGAACATGGAGAGAGCATACAAACTCCATGCAGATGACACCCCAGGTCTGGAATTGAACCCAGGGCCTCAGTCCTGCGAGGCAGCAGTACTAACCACTGCATCACTGTGCCGCCTTATTGATAGAGCAACCTGTAAAGTGACTGTGCATCTTCACTTTACTGTAAGTGCAGTAAGTCTGAAGATTACATCTCTCCAAATGTTTCTTGCTTGATTGTCTACAGACAGACTGTGACCAATACAGATCGTTTTCAGTAGTGGCCCTGAAACCCTTATTGTGTTTACCATATTTCTGTTCAAAGCAGGTGATGCTTTTAAAACTAGGAAACTAGGAAAATGAGTTGACGGAGTTGTCTGTTACCTCCCAGCTCCTTTAACTCGAGAGTTAAATTGTTTTAAGTTGTCCAATGAGTGCCCAGTGGCTTTGAACCACTACAACAAATTAATACATCATAGCAGCCTTTGATATACAAAATATTTGCATAATGACATTGCTCACTACTTTTGAAGGAAGCGGCAGTCAGAATCAATCAGATACTAAATTTATTCAGACTTTCTTCCTTTGATAAGCAAAGATTAATTTTTAAAGAAAATGTATTTTCTTAAGATAATAATTTTTACTAAACTGACAAAAAGGCTGCTCTGACCCAGCAGCAGGACCAGCTATTACATTTGCAGGAAACAAAGGTGATGAAATCACGCAAAATTGTTTATATCCAGTTTAAACTGGACAAAAGTGATCATACGGTCTTCTTATTGTATAATAATCATATTTCCTTCTCCCCCCAGGGAGCTCCATAGCTTCATCCAGGCAAACAATTTCCCCAAAGGACCCAACCACATCCATTTGGAAGGAGGAGTTTCACTGGGGATCGGTGCCTTCAACTTGGTATGTCTGTCAGGTCACCTGATTCTAATCATGTGACTTGGTTTTCAAGATGCAGATCTGTTCCTGTTACAAGATTAAGTAATCCCTTCGGAAGTTGGACAGAGTCAAATTGTTCTGCGGTGTGGAATTCACCTTTGTTCAGGGGAGGTCCTGTATTGGTCAGGGCTGCTGAAGTCTGGAAGTACCTGAAAATGCTGCAGTCTTTGTGGTCCGGAATCCAGAAGAGTTAGGGTGACATTCTAGTGCAGTGACAGAAAAGGAAAGAACCTAAGAAAGGCCAAGTGGCCTTCTCCCATCTGTTACCTATCTAGCCTGTTCGGTAAAAATAATAAGCTTGTGATTAACCAGAAACATCAGTGAATGACAAATTCTCATCTACAACAACAACCTTGATTTACCTATTTAGACAGGAGGTAACTGCTGAAGTAATTTTGAATGGAGCATCACTTAATAACAACAACTGTACAACAGTTGAACCCATTGCCACAGGGCTGCCTCTAGAGTGCTTCTGGCTGTTTGCAAGCAGTTTGCAGGCTGGCAAAAAATGATCCAGGCTCCAGGGGTGATGGTTTGAACACTGCATCACATGCTGTGGAAAATACTGTGTTTGTTCATATCTGACTGTTTTGTTATCCTTGTCCTTTACCATGTTATTTCTGCCTCCCACAGACACTCTCTCTCTTTCCTGCTCGGATTCTGAAACTCCTGGAATTCGCTGGGTTCTCTGGGGACAAGGTAGTGACTTTGGGCTGGCTGGCACAACTGGGATGTCTTTACTGCTGAAGCACAATCCAGATGCCACATGTCACTTGACGTTTTTAAAATTTGGAGGTGTATTCAAACAAAGGATTGTCAGCTTCAAAACCTGAGTCACATCTCAAGTAAAATATCATTTTAATCATCGCAGCAGCAAGATGTTCCTTACAATCAGCTTAAGTGTGCTTATGGGCCTAAAGGAATGTCTTGCCCTGATGGCTGATAGAAATAAGTATATTTACTTAAATAAATGTTTGGTGTTGGATATGGACTTTTTATTGGCAGGGACCCTGTGGATTGTTTTAACTCTGCTAGTAAGTGAAGTTACCGCCAGTGAACAGGATGTTTGTCTGGTGAAGCAGGGCCCCAAGCTGTCAGAATGTGAGCTAACCACAGAAGAGTCATGCACAGTGCTCCCCAGAGTCTATTGTAGAGAAATGTTGCAGATTTAAAAAGAAAATACTTCAATCTGTAAAAGAAGATCAAATGTTGCCCCATCCAAGCCTCAAAGCCTCTGACTGGGAAAGGGAGAGAGGTCCTGCAGGGGACGGGCTGGGGCAGGAACGCAGTCCTTGAGCAAGACGGCCCGGGGACAGAAACGGAGTGTGGGTCTGACTCGCGGTGTCTCTCCGCAGGAATACGGCCTCACCCAGCTGCAGGAGGGAGCCACCTCTCTGAACCTGCGCTCCATGCTGTGCGCCTTGCTGCTGCTCTGCTACTACACCTTCCTCACCTTCATACTCGGTAACCTGTCGCCTCTCGGAAGTGCTTCCTCTGCTGCTCAGCCATCGAAGGCCGGTTGGGACCCACAGTCCAGGCATGCCTGGTTACAGCCCAGGCCGTGTCGTACCTGAGCGTGACGGGCACAGCTGGTTGGGTGCCGCGGGTCAGCGTGGCGTTAGTCTGCCACGGGCCTCTGGCAGTGCAGTGGCGAATCCTGGGAGACTGCAGGCTTGAGAGGCATGCACACGGCAAATGGGTTTGACGAGTGGGCGTGTCTGCAGACGTCATTCCTAAAGTCAAGTCCTAAACAGTTGCCGATTCCTGATTGAAGTGGCTGGGCGTGAAAATTAGCAAACAAAACAGGCTACCGGTGATTCCTACTAAAATAAACCCTTTTGGGGTGGGGAGGGGTATTTTGTTTGCTTAGGGAGCGGGTGAGAGTGTAGTTTGGTTTGTGCTTCTTTTCCTGGAGGGAAGACGCTGCAACAGCACATTAGTCTTTGTGTAACTTTAGGTGAACGCGGGAGGAAGGTGTGTACGTGATAGGGCTGTTTCGACATTATGTGTGAAATCTGTGTTTTCTTTCTGTCCTTAATGTAGGTACAGGGGAGGGTGAGGTAGCTGATGCTGAGAAGCTGCTGAAACCTTTCCTGCTTCGGTACCCACGGGTAAGTCAGAAGAACAAGTCTGTTATACACAAATTCACATGAGTTCAGAAAAGTACAGAAAAGGCTAATTTTTCTAGTATTCTTATGGCTCCGATAAGGACTACATTAGCCCTTTCTCTCATGATGTTCTGTTCACACCACTACTGATTTTTTCTTAGGGAGCTGTGATCATTAAGGTTCTTTATAAAGCACTAACGCCCATCTTGTGTCTCTTTCTACGTGTCTCAGGGTGCCATCTTCCTGTTCTTCGCAGGCCGGACTGAGGAGATCAAGGGGAACATAGATGAGGTGAGTCTTGGGGCCCTGAGGGACGGGTTTTCTGAACGCACACTCTATTCTGCCGTTCAGGTGTGGGCGGGTCTTTTTTATGTATGGGAGATGGGGATATCTAAGTCAAAATTAAAAAAAAGTAACACTTGCTTTAATTTTGAATGCCGATTACTGATTTCTGATTCAGAACTGTGTCTGGCAGTGAAGTGTTTTCTCATTCATCCTGACCCGAGGGGTCTGTGTCTGTGTCGCCAGGCAGTGGAGCTGTTTGAGGAGGGCTGCAAGGCCCAGCAGGCTTGGAAGCAGTTCCACCACATGTGCTACTGGGAGCTGATGTGGTGCCACACCTACAAGAGGGTGTGGAAGATGGCCTACTTCTTTGCCGACCTGCTGAGCAAGGAGAGCCGCTGGTCAAAGGTGAGATTTCTTACTGTGGCTTGTAGAGTTAATGTCAGCACAAGAACCACAATGCTCCTGGGTGACTTGAGGAGTAAAGGCATAGGACTGAAATACAAGGGTGTGTTGAACTTACTTTGCAATTTGTCCCCGATTACTAATTCCACCCATAAAGTGAAAAAAGAGGATGCTGTTCAGGATCAGACCGGATGTTGCGTTTGAAGGACGTTTCTTTCAACAAACAGCTGGATGAGATTTTTGGATACATTATCTACTAAAAAAAGACTAGATGGGCCAAATTGCCACCTCTGGGTTGTAGCCTTTCTGATGTTTCCTGATGCTTCGAATTAATTCATTCATTCTGCACACTTCAATTCGAAGTATGCAGGTTCAGCACACTTCAAAGAAAATGCAATCTGCTTTACTAAAAGGGACCCAGCATCTCTCTGAGCAGGGCTCAGCCTCCCAGTGTATGCTGGCAGGTTGGAACTGACTCCACTGTGTCTTTGCAGGCCATGTATGTATACATGAAAGCTGCCTACCTCAGCATGCTGCCCCGGGATGAAGCCAGGCCCTTTGGGGACAATGAAGTGGAGCTCTTCAGGTAGGAAGACTGCAGACTTTCCCGTCCACTTACAACACTGAATTAACTGTATAGACTGTGCCACATTGAGATATACTGAACACTACCGCTGCACACTGTGCCACATTGAGATATACTGAACACTACCACTTCACGCTGTGCCACATTAAGATATACTGAACACTACACCTACACGCTGCCACATCGAGATATACTGAACATGACTCCTGCACACTGTGCCACTCTTGAGATACTGAACTCTACACCAACACACTGTCACATTGAGATATATTGGACTATTTTAGTATAGCAAATTAAATTGGTTTTGTTTTGGTGTTTTTTGTGTCTAGTTTTCTGGGGAATCCATGATGCTTCTCCTTGAGTATTTTCACCTCTGCTTTAAGTAACCTAGAAATATGTGTGTCTGTCCAGTGGTTCCAAGGAACCAGAACTTGAGACGTCTTGGTCTCTGTCTGTCCCTGACTATATCTCAGACAGGTGCCCTCATTCAAGCAGAAGATTGCAGGCAAGTCCCCCCCCACAGAGAAGTTCGCCATCCGCAAGGCAAGACGCTACAAGGCCAGCAACCCCGTACGGCTGCCCGTGCCTGTGTTGGTAAGACTGAGATACCCTTAGGGTGAAAAGAGCCAAAACAATGAACACAACAGCCCTCATATTGCAGATAATTAGTTATGTGATCCTTAGAAATGATCGTCACTGAAACAGAGTCAAGTCTATTACTTTTGACAGCTTTGGGTGGTGTCTTCTAGTGTTCATGTTTGTGTAAAATTGCTGCATCATTAAGCCCATTGTTCAATGGTAGCTGAGATATGAATACAGTATAGCCAACAGATGCATCAATGCCCATGTTCAGAAAACATTTAAATATATACAAACATTTCAGGGGAAGTATTTGTAGATGTCACCAGCAGCTCTTTGAATTGGGAACATTCAAATTTAAGGCCAAAATCCAGCAGGATTCCTAGATCTCTTTTAATTTATCAATATCTTAAGGCTTGAGAGGGGATGTCAAATAGGGCTTAATACTTCACAGAGATGGCAGAAATTGCAAAAAGTTAAAGACACCTTCCCTTCAAAACCTGCTGGATTTTGGCTGTAAGACAAAGTTTAGTGATCATTATATAACTGAAAGTATGTAGGGTGTACGGTGTCAGTACAGGTACTATTCTGTGCTTTTTGTCCTACAGGAGATGATGTACATGTGGAACGGCTTCACCATGATCAGGAAACGTCCGGAGCTGACAGCAGGGATGATGGAGACTCTCCTGGAAGCAGAGCGCACTCTTCAGGAGGCACCAGGTACAGGCACTTCCCAGGCTTCATCATACACCAATCCCAGCATGCTCATCTTCAGCATACACCAGTCCCAGCATGTTCAGGCCTTAGCATACACCAGGCCCCAGGATACACCAATGCCAGCATGCTCAGGACTCAGCATGCAAAAATGTCAGCTTGCTTAGGCCTCAGTATCCACAAATCTCAGTGAGTGTACTGAATGCCAGCAGGCCAGTATTAGAAAATAAAATTGAAATAAAATGGCACATTGTTTTATTAGAGAACATTTGACTTTCCTTGCTGTGGGGTCATCAGCATAATGTTCATATGTTACATGTTGCATTTTGTACTTGAATCTAAAAGAATCCTTGTGATATTACCCTGTCTCTCTTTCTCCGTCCAGGTGTTATTCATTAAACTATTTTATGACCATGCTTGGCTACATTTTATAATTATTCTGGGAGGACAGCAACTCTGTACACTTCCAGTGTAGTTCAAAAGCATGACTGAGATTTGACTGAATGCTGATATAAAAGGCTCTGACAGGTCCAAATATTTTTTTTTGGGGGAAGCAAAAAATGTCAACACAAGCCTTCATTAACATACTGTGCCAAGCAGGAAATAGTTCATGACCAAGGCCCTCTGTCTCTCTCTGTGTCCAGTGAACGAGTACACGGTGGACGACAGGTCTGTGATCCTGTTGTTGAAGGGACTGTGCCTGAAGAACCAGGGCCATACGGAGGCAGCGGAGGAATGCTTTTCTCAGGTCTGCAAGAGGTAATCCTGCTCCTCCTGGGCTCTGGGTGACTGCCACCCTTCCGGCACCCACCGTATCAGTGCAGACCAGGGCTGTGCAACCTGACCAGCCTTGTAATCTGCTGCCCTGCGGTACTTTTAACACAACCGGTACCTTAACTGCTGCCTCCAGCCATCTATCCATCCTGGGAAGGACACTGATTGGCATGGGTCACGACAAACCAACACCTCTCGTGTAAGCATGATGTGCAACTGGGTCTGCATCCTAGAAAACCTGGTTGTCCATCACAGCACACACATGTGCACACCACTCACAGCACACAGCACGCAGTACATACCATTCATAGCGCACACACATGTATCGCACACAGCCCATTAATCAACCTTGCTGGCATGTCTCTGGAACATGGAAAGACAGTGGAGCCCACACAAGTACTGAGTTAGGCTCTCCAGTCCAGAATCGAATGTCTCCAAGAGCTGTGATGCATCAGCACTAAATGCCATGTCTCCACGCTGCTCAATCGCTGTAGCAATCTTATTACTATGAAGCAACAGGGGGAATTAGATAAGTAAAACTGTCCAGGTAAAATCAAGTTGTAGATTCGTTCTTAATCTAAACTGTTGATCTACACCCTTGACTAAGATCTTTTACTAGATCTGATACCTAATCTGAAAAATTGTTTATTACCTGCTAGTATTTTTCTAAAAACAGTATCATAACTTTGGTCTCCATTTCTTTACATTTAAATGTGATTTTGCAGTACCATTTTTAATCTTTTATAATATGCATGCTAGTATGTGTGTTTATACAACATTAAAGAATTGCATCTCCAAAACGAGAAGGAATACAGAGACAGAGAATTTTGTCTCATATAACATCTGTCTTCCATGTTCCTGCAGTGAGAAGAAGATCAGATATGACCATTACTTGGTTCCCAATGCCATGCTGGAGCTCAGCTTGCTGTATATTGACGTAGGCCGCAAGGAGGGAGCTATCAAACTGCTGCACCGTGCCAAGTGAGTCTCCCCCTGCTGGACACATTTGGATTTACAACTTGCCACCTGCAATGCTCCTGTTCAGTTATTCATTAATAATAACATTTAAGTGGATTTTTTTATCCTGTTTTTCTTTTGAAACTAATAGTACCATCCCAGATGAGCTATTTGTTTTTCTAATTTTGTGAGGCCACTTTGCAAATCTCCAATGCCCATCCTTATTTTTTGATCATTTTGTTCTGTGGCTCTTGTGCAGAAACAACTACAAGGAGTATTCCATGGAATCCCGGACGCAGTTCAGGATTCACGCTGCTCTCTCCAAATTAAAAGCCAACGATGTGGATGAGGTCACTGAGCTCTGATGGACAGAAGTGGCTCCCTGACCAGAGATACAGCAGACCAGATACCCAAGGAGAGCCTGGTTAACCTCTTTTAGGGGGTGGGAGCTGCCTTCTGAAGTCTTTTGATTGGTCAGCAAATGAAAGGCCTGCCTGCAAGTGACAGCTCTCCACACCTCACCTCACACCTCAGCCCTGTGTTTCACAGGCTCTTTCCTCTTCCTTAGTGATTTACTCTGACAGATCTTCCTTATTGTCTGTTGCACATTTATGCTTCTCATGTTTACAGTTTGTATCACTGGCATTGTACAGTGTGGAAAACCTGTATGATATCCTTAGAATGGAGCACAGAGGTGGCAAGGATGGTAGAATTTAGGGTGGATAGGTAGTTCAGGTGGGTAGCTGCGTCAGGATGCGTAGGCCTGAAAGGTTTATTCCATGCTGAAAAGAGCATCAAAGAAAACACAATGTTTCGGCATGGAATAAACCTATTACTTGTTCCTTTAGTGTGGATAGTCTTCATTCATTGAGCACCTTCTTGCAGGTCTCCTGTCTCATTTCTACATCGCTTGATGGCACCATTTCTTCAGGTTGCACAGGTTCTGGTTTTAAGAACAGAGCTTGGACTCATGTGCACTGAGCTCTTGTTTGCTTGGCCGAGTTGGGTCAGTAGTCCTTCCAGTCTCGGCTCCAGACTTGAGATATGCCGATATGGATTCTGTTCCCAACAGCTGTAACAGGAGATTGATTCACCTGAATTCCCAACTGCAGAGCCTCCTTTTCCTACAGGCTAGTGGAGGAAAAAATGTTTGCTCTCCCTGCAGAACGTGCCAAGAGCCTGACTTTTTAAAAGTTTTTGCAGTGTTTACATGTTTCATGTTTCATGTTTTTGGGGTGGCTCAGAGCTCTGGGTCTTCTGCAGCTTATGTCACACTATATTATATTCTGTGGGTAGCACCTGTATCTGGGGCATGTGATAGGCAAATGCTTTCTGTTTTAGTGATGAATTGAACAGCGTTTGCTTGTAAACCCAACGTATTACAAGTCTGGCTCGCATAAACAGTTTTTCTGCATGTCAGGTAGTCTGCATGTCAGGTGCTGTTTAGTAACTCAAAGAGCATCATGATCATTCTGGCTTGTATTCAGTTTAGATTCAACGTTTTGTTGTGCCAGCTCTGGATTACAGTTTGGAATGCATGTCCAAGGACAGATGGAATAAAAACCAAAGCCCTTGTGCCCATCCTTGTGTTGGCGGATGGGGGTGTTATCAAAGCCAAGAAGCCAAGGAAATACGACAGAGAGTTTGGAGTGTTAAGCAAAAACACCACCTCAGTGCTAAATTACCATGAGTGAAAGAGTGGGTGTGGGATCCTGGGGCAGGAAAGGTAAACGTGTTCAACGCCATTAACTGTGGTGTCGCAGCTGACACAACTGACGAGCCCGAGCGCTCGGCTGAGATCTTTCACTGTGCAGGTCGGACGTTCCCACCCGAACAAGATCCTGCGCGTACCGCTTGGCTCCCAGTGCTGTGCAGCAGTGAGAGCCTGGGACTTGGAGCGGCAGCAAGACCCCTCCAAATCAGTGCTTCGTGTAGCCAGACCCGGGGCTGTGATCAGACTCCAGCGTTTACACTGTTTTTTTTAAAGAACTCTGTATCAATAGAAGTGATTTACAACAAAGTGAAGATAAATTGCGTTAATTAAAATGCTAATATTTAAACCGTAAAATATCCTGTATATATTTTGTGTTTTAAAAGATCTTTCTTTTTTTACACCAAAAACATTGCTATTACTCTTAAAGTCAATTAAATTTAAATTTGTGGCATTTGGCTTTTTTTTATGGCACTTAAATAAAGGGTGAAGCCTTATCTTCAGCTGGTTTATGTAACAGAGATCCTACTGCATTGACATTATTAATATTGCTAACATTTCTCTGAAAGTATACTTCCTTCTCATACATTACTTTCCTAAAGTTTTTTCCTACACATACAGAGGAGTTATTTATACCACAGAATCTCACCATCATTTGTTAAAGGCTCAGCCACACAAGAGACAGTTTTTAATTACTTGTTTGTACATAAATCTTTGTTTAGTCTTTGGACATTATCCAAGTTTTCAAGAGGTCAGGTTTTTCACTGGTGGGGGTACATATGGGTTTTATAAAAACGCATAAGCTAGCAAAGACGCAACCGGGTAAATAAAATAAAATACAGAGTCTAAAGAAAGTAATCAATATTATTTTATTTGTTTTTTTTTCTACCTTACGTTAGTGCTGTTTGTATACAGCAGCCTTAATGTGTCGCAGCAAAATGTTTTATACAAGTGATGGGGTGAAAACTGGTAAGTGAAACTGAACTTCTCAGAAAATGTCCTTGTTTGCGCCTCACTTGATTCAGTTGTGTTCTCAAAGCTCTAGCTCATTAAAAAAAAACCCTCAAGTCCGCTTTGAGCGTCAGGCCAAAATTCAGGCGGGCTCGGACGTTCCTGAAACCTCCGTCGCTCGCGCGTCTTCCTCTTTTCTCCTCCTTTTCAGCAGTTTCTTCTTCTTCTTCTCCTCCTTCTCAATCTCTTTCACCATCTCCTGGAACTTGGGGCTGCGGGGGTCGAGCGCGTAGCCGAACCGCTCCCTCGCCTCCGCCAGCAGCCGGTCCCGCCGGGCCTTGTCTTCCCGCTGCTTCTGTTTCAGCGTCCGCACGTCCCGCCGCCAGTCCGCCACCATCTGCGGCATCTTGGCCATGTTGGCGGCGATGAGCTTCTCTCTAACAAAGCGAAGTAAAAAGGTACAACTCTGTAAATAAGCCAGCAGCCATATCACTGCAACTCACAGCTGGCAGCCCACTGGAGCTCAGCAGGTGTGAGCCTGGTCAGTACCTGGATGGGAGACCCCCTGGGAGAAACTAAGGTTGCTGCAAGAAGAGGTGTTCGTGGGGCCAGCAGGGGGCGCTCACTCTGCGGTCCATGTGGGTTCTAATGCCCCAGTATAGTGACGGGGACACTATACTGTAAACAAGCGCCTTCAGATGAGACGTAAAACCGAGGTCCTGACTCTGCGGTCATTAAAAATCCCAGGGTGTTTCTCGAAAAGAGTAGGGGTGTTACACCCAGCGTTCTGGCCAAAATTGCCCCTGACCTTTACCAATCATGGCCTCCTAATAATCCCCATCTCTCTGCTCTCCTCCCCACTGATAGCTGGTGTGTGGTGAGAGTACTGGCGCACTGTGGCTGCCGTCACATCATCCAGGTGGATGCTGCACATTGGTGGTGGAGGGGAGTCCCCATTACCTGTAAAGCGCTTTGAGTGGAGTGTCCAGAAAAGCGCTATATAAGTGTCAGCAATTATTATTATAATTATTAAATGATGTTAAATTAAAAGACGGTCAAAGTATTGCTAAACCAACCTTCAATTGTCTACACCAAGCCAGCAACAACTTCTTTTTTTACAGAGTTTGTATTTAATTATCTTACTAAAGGCTGCCGAATGTGCTAATTTTACGATTGTCAAACCTCTTACGTTTTCCAATCACAAAACACAATGAAACAGTTAAAGGATCCTTATTTTAATTTGCCTCAAGTATTCCAAGAAAAGTAATGCTTTTGAATGTAAAATAAGTGGCCATGAAATGAAGGGGGGAAATCACGTTTTCAAAACCGTATTTAGCAACAAGTTCACCAACTACTTAATGGCTAGTAAAAACGAAATACTTCATGACGGTTAAAAATGAACCTTAAATGAAGGTGTTTTTACTATTAAGGTCTGAAATACCGTTCCGTTTTGCATTGCGGTTCCTCGTACCCAATAAACAAGAAGCGCAGTCGAATTGACCTCTTGCACAGCACCTCAAGGTGTCATTTGGAATGAGCCATCAAATATGAGGTGGGAGGTAAAGTGATAGATTATAGTGATCTTATAGAAGATGATAGTTATATTTTATTTGTGGACTTTAATAAAGCTTTTGATACAGTAGAGTTAGTTTTAAGTGTTTAGAATTTTTTGGTTTTGGCGAATATTTTCAGAATGTTAAGACTCTTAATAATGGGTGTAATAGCTCAGTCAGATTGCATAACGGGACATCTCCGAGATTTGAAATTGGCAGAGGTACTAGGCAGGGATGTCCAATATCTCCTTTTCTTTTTGATTAGTAACTCAGTCTTTGGCTCTTCATATTAATAATAGCATTATGGAAGGCATTAGTATCTTGGGAAGAGAAATTAAGATTTGTCAACTAGCAGACGATACTACTGTTTTTTTTGAGAATAATAAAGAAGTCTCTAAAGCAATTGAGGTTTTAAATGTGTTCTCATCAGTCTCAGGATTGTCTTTGAATACTGACAAGTGTGAACTGTTTTCTCTTAAGGATTCTAATTTAGATGCATTAGTGAATATACCTGTGAAGAAAGTGGTTCGTTATCTGGGAATTATAGTCTGTAAAGACCAAGATAAAAGATGTAAATTGAACTTTACACCTATTTTAGATAAAACTAAAAAAAGATTCCAGTCTTGGTTAATGAGGGACCTATCGTAGGCAGGTGGGGTTCTACTGTCGAAAGCAGAGGGTATCTCTCGCTTTGTGTACCCTTCACTTTCACTGAACGTTCCTTCGTATCTCATTGATGAGTTTGACAAACTATTATATAACTTTATTTGGAAGAATAAACCTCATTATATTAGAAAACACCTTCTGAGTAAACCAAAAAAATCAAGGTGACATGAATGTTATAGACTTTTATATGTCAAATATAACATTTAAAATTAATTGGATTAGGAAATATATTCATAATAAATAGAGTATTTTGAATTTTATTCCAAACAATTTTTCTGAATGTTGGGGATCTTGACTTTTTGTTAAAATGTAACTTTGATATAAAAAAATCCCAATTAAGTTATCTAATTTTCACAAGCAAGTATTATGATACTGGACTTTATTATACAAACACAATTTTTCACCACATACATATTATATTTGGAATAATAAAAACATTTAAGTTTTTTTTTACAGACTTGGTATAACAACAAAATGTATTTAGTGAGTGGCTCAACTGTTGAATCAAGACGGTAGATTGTTTACTTATCCTGAATTCCTAGAGATTTCAGCTCCCTTTCACCTCTAAGGAATATGCAATAGTTTTTGATACCATTCCGGAAGGTGTAGTGAACTTGTTAAAAGCAAATCAAAGCGCTATTAGGACTGACGTCCTTTCTGGTCTTACAACGGATTTATTCTCGGATGGCATGGAAATAAAGGATAAGAAATGTAACAATACTCATATAAGGAAACTTTGTAAACACCATCTTATCCCTCCTTGTTTATCTTTTTGGAATGCACTGTTTGAAAATATAAACTGGAAGTTAGTTTGGACAACTCCTGATATCGTATTACAAATAAAGTTAAAGAGATATTGTTTAAAATTGTTCATAAGTTTTATGCAGTTAAATTAGTGCTCTCTAAATTTAAGCAGGAGCAGGATGATCTGTGTGTTTTTTGTCGGGCTGAAAGGGAATCTTTGGTGCATTTATCTGTTAGGTGTTGGTTTGTGAAGTTGTTTTGGAAGGACTTGCAGAGTTTTGTTTGCAGGCAGTTAAAGGTGTTTTTTAGATTGAAGGATTTTGATATTTTATTGTACTGTTTAATAGAAAATTTGGAAAAAGAGCATTTATTTATAGTACATTTATTAGTCATTCTGGGTAAATTTCACATTCATAAATCAAAATGGTCTAATAATACTCCCCTTTTTAGCACTTTTGAGGTGGAGCTGAAACACTATTTAAATCCAATAAAAAATTGAGAAATAATACGATATATGATGAATGTACAAAATGCAATTTGATCACATAATTTACTTCATTACATCTGGCGGTTAAATGTTTTTTGTCTGTTTTTTTTTCCCCTCTTGTACCTGTTTCCAATCCTCTGGTTGTAGCTGTATTTGTAAATTATTTATACGTTTAATAAAAAAAAAGAATATGATCTCTCATACCTACAGTTCTGTCCGGAAACCTGTTGTAAAAACGATCTACGCAAGAGTTACTCTAAACAAAAAGAAGACAATTTATTATCGTTTTAACATGAAGTGATCGATTAAAGAAGCTACTTTATGTATGCTCTTGCGTGCAACTTTGTTGTAGTGTATTGGTCTTTTTCGTACGCGACACGCTAGAAAATTGACAGGCAGAGCAGCAGACCTCCCAGGTACTAGCGACTCGATTCCCCGCTCACCTCGCCTGAAGTATCCTAGCTCTCTCCTTCTCTCTGCTGGCGATGTTGTTCAGCATCTCCTGCAGCGACGGGTTCCACTCCTGCTCCTCAGCTATTATCTCCTTCAGCTTTTCGGGGCTCGGCCACAGTTTCGCCGCGTCGACCCCCGAAGCCGACCCGTAGCGGGCGAACAGCTTGCGGTCATACTTCTCGGATTTCTGCCACTCCGGAGTCTTCTCGCTGTCTCGATCCGGAATGTAAGGGTCCTTCAAGTTGAGTTTTAAGGGCTTGGGGTTATAGGCGGCGACTTGCAAGAAGGACCCACATCTAGTGAACTCGGGTGTTAGGGTATTTTGGGACGAAATGCTTCGAAACACACCCCATAACGAAGCTGTCCTCCTGCACAGCACGGAGGCCGCCATCTTTACAAGGTCATGTGACACGACAGGCCTAGGTCCTACGATATCAACGATAGGTTACTAGTCAGATGCCTGAGTTTCATTATTGAAATACAGAATTGAAAAGAATTTTTATTTCGCATTTATTATTATTACATTGTTTGAAGTCTTGAAATACAAACTCAAGGCTCATGGGGAATGGGGGGCAAGGTGGAGGTGATGTGATCCATATCTGAGCCTCACTGGCTCACTGGGCCAGAGCTCATCCTGATTCTCAAGAGAGCAGGTGACTATCCCCCCCTCTCACCCTCTGCACAGGACGCCTGTCTGTCACAAGGAAGAAACCCCCTGGCCATACAGATTGCCACTGATACAGCTGGTAGAACTGGAGCAACTAGGGTGGAAGTACAGAGATACCTCAGCAGTGCCTGCAGTGAGCACTCAAACCCGCAACCCTCTAGATACGCTATGCTGCCCCTGAACTGCAGTAGTATTCCCATGTACATGGTAATCCACCTTAAGCACGTGGAATGCCTTGATTTCATGAGCTGGAGTGTAAAATAGGAAGTGTGGTAAATCCTGTGGAAACAATGTGTAGTTTAAGACAATTCTGAATCATTACCATTTCAATCAGATTGTAAAACACCTACGCTCCTGTGCACCAGGTGTCTCGCTCTTTTCTAACGACGCTCTCACTCTCTGGGTGTGTGAGTTCTAAAGACTCATCAGGGCTCGTAATGGTTTGCACCATAAAACTGTTTTCCTCTGAAGTGTCTTTGTCACACCCCCCCGCTTGTCCTGAAAGCCATACAAAACCTAATCCTGTCAGGGATAGTTATAAAAAAGTCCCATGCTTTGCTGAGAGTGATAAAGTGCAATATTTGTTGCAGACTAATAGTCAACTGTTTCACCTGAAATAATATTGTTACTTCAGGATATTTGATAGTATATTATGATTTCCTATATGATTTTTGTCTTTACCTCTGTGAGATGACACAAAAAGGGTACAAAAAGTGTGTCATAAGTAGTAGGAAACAACATTTTTACTTATATAAGCATAATTCGTCACAATGTCTAAGTTTTACAATGTGCAGTGACAGTTTGTGAAGTGCAAATTGTACCTTTTTTTCTCACAGGAATAAGATAAAACAAACTGCTCAGACAGACATGTGAAATATATTATTCCTACACCAGACGGGTAACTGATCAGGGTAGCAGCAGTGTGGAGCAGCAGTTAGGGTCTGGTTAGGATGGTCTCGGGTTCGAATCCAGGATGGGTCACTGCCGTGGTATCCTTGAGGCAGGTGCTTTTCTCAGTTCACTCTTGTGAACACATTGTTGTAAAAATGGGTCTATAGGTCCTCATTATCATTTCAAATTCCCATGCCTTTTTCTGGTAAGACAAAGGAATAATAAAATGAGCATCTGTGACCAGTTCAAATACCACACATTCCAGGTCGAGCTTTAATGTTTATTCCAATATCAGCTCGCAGTTCTGATCAGACATGACATGAGCCTGACCTCAGCTGTGAGTGAGTGAGCCCCTCAGGGATCTGTGCACACCAGGGAGAGGGCAATAGATAAGATCACTTTATTGGCCATATACAATTTATTGCATTAGGAATTTGTCTTTTCTCATACCCCAACTCGCTCTCCATGAGACACACAGGTGGGGAGAGAGAAGCTTGTTGTGAGAGTGCAGGGTCAGCCATTTCTATGGCGCCCCTGGAGCAGTTGGGGTTAAGGGCCTTGCTCAATGGCCCAACAGAGCAGGATTCCTCTGC